ACCTCCATTCCACCCTGATCTTCTCGGTTTAGATTTTTTTAATACACTTCAGTGTTCTGCGTCGAAAATATACTCTCGCATATCTTCATACAAGCTACCTCACTGTCTAGAGGTCTCTGGAACCGAACTGAAGATACTATTTAGTAATTTTTTGGTGCTGACTCCTCAGAGGCACCAGTGAACGGTCATTTGTTGACGTATTACATGCCTCTAATAAATGCATTGACCGTTCTGCCATTCTTCTGCTTCACTTGAATTAAATGCCTCCAATATTTTTGTTCACATAGTTTTGGGCGGTAATCCGGTATAAATAAGTAAAGAAACTGATAAGCAAGTCCCCGCAATATTAACCTTGAACGGAATTGTTTAAACTTATCACCTTCAAAAAGGGTACACAACCGGGTTTTGAAGGCGTCTCCGTTGTATGATGCGCATCAGTTTGTACCTTTTGTGTCTTGTACATATCACTTTGTCCGTGGACATTCAACGTGGACCGGAAAATCCATATGCCGAAACTTCAAAGTGTGAGCTTATTCGCATACCGGCATGCCAGGGACTTCCGTACAACCACACCATTTTGCCGAATACCTTCGGACATACTTCACAGGAGGAGGCTGGACAGGACGTAACCCAGTACAATTCGCTGGTGAAAATTCCTTGCAATCCATCGCTAAAACTCTTCCTTTGTTCTTTGTACTTCCCTGTCTGTACGGAGTTACGTAAGCCCCTCCCGCCATGTCGATCTCTGTGTCAACAAAACCGGGATAGATGCGAACCGATTATGCGTTCATTCAGTTTTCAGGCATGAATACACTTTTCTTATTAAGAATTTATAGTGGCCTGCCAATATGCAATGCGACCTCTTCCCCGAAGACGGCCTGTGCATTTCGGAAGACAAGCCAGAAACAAAGCCAGTTACTGAAAGTGCACTAGAATGTCCAGTTGAAATGAAGGTACGACAATGCTTTATAAGTATTATTTTTAGGTTCCAACAAGCTTTGAATTTCGCATTCGACTGAGTAACAACCTAATAATACCAAATTGTGGCATGCCATGCAAACGACACCTTTTCAACGATCCATCTTGGACTAAGTTCTCGCGCCTGTGGATTGGATTATGGAGTGGATTATGCGCAGCATCAACCCTTTTCACTGTTTTGACATTCCTCATCGATATGAACCGATTCCAGTACCCCGAACGGCCGATAATTTTCCTGTCGTTCTGTTACCTCGTGGTTGCCGTCACATACATAACCGGGCTTTCATTTGGCGACAAGGTGAGTGTCAATCCTGTGCTTTTATTTGCATCGTTCAACCATTATTTTTGCTTGCTGAAATGATTCGACTTGACTGTTTTGATAGTCACCTGTTTGTAGATATTTAATGCAACTGGTTAAAACTTAAAATGTGTTATTTTTAAAAAGCCCCAAGATCTATAAATAAGTTAAACGAACCAAAACATGCTAATTACCCTGTTAACTGTTGATCCTGATTTATAAAAAGCGCACTGATTTGCCTTGTTATTTTCAAAGACAAAGCATGACGTTCCTCAGAACACTCCGAGGTTTGGTCACTTATCACTGGGTTGTCCTAAAAGCTCGTCGTTAAGCGAACTGTCTGAAAGCAGTGTGTTTACGATATCTTGAACCTTAATAAACTCGTGCGTTCGGATGAGCAGCCTAAGAAGCAGGCTAAACATACACAAGTTACCCTTGGCGACTACATTCCAAGTAAAACGTGAAGCACATTTTCGTATGTTACAGTATTTTTGGTCGAAGACTAGTCGCGCTCGGTGGAAACCCCATGCTTATAATAGAACCGTTTGATTTTGGGATTCAACCGCTTGCTGTACTTTCATAAATCCTTTACTGGCAAGACAAATTTGTTTCTTTTTGTGTTTTAAAAACGTTACTTTGTCTAGTACAGTCTCCGCAATTTTATTTGTCTTAGACATTTCGATAAACGCTATATTTGCCTGTAAGCGATCGCTGTAACCATTTTGCATCATTTTACTAATTTTAATAACTTCCGACACTATTCATGCACTGACTTAGTTAATATATCTTCATGTGGCGTTAAGAGCTTTAGTGGGAACGTAAAATGTACTTTTCCTTTCGTCTATCTGTCACTTTCCCGATACTACAGAAATAAAACTATTCTGCGACCCATTTTCTGTAAAACTTTGTATGTATGTCTGTTTAAAATACACTCGGGTTCCTGCTGCTTTGGCAGGCAAAAAACCGCTCTCCGTTCTAGTAACGCTCACTATTTTTGGTCAGCATCGTTACCAATAGTCTTCTGTTTAATGCCCTAAGATATCCACTCCTTTCCGAGGTCAATCCTCGGACATTCAACAAGCTCAGTAAAACAGAGTTATAGACAGTCACTATTAATTTTCTAAACAAGGTAGCTATTCATTTAGTTGGATAACCAGGCTTTAGAGATACCTGAGAGTTAACGACACCTAGAGTTAGAGATGATGCAAAGAAAGCTGTGAGTAAATAGACAGTCATCTATTTGTGAGCGAAAAATATAAAGAACTTCGTCCCCACCTTCCGGCCAAAACGTTTCTAGACGTAATACGTTAATGAGACGAAGTAGCACGTTACATCTATACTGGTCAATTTCAATCTGTTTTTAATCCTAGAGGGGACGATTGCTATCGTCAATATTGTAGACAACTTCTATGATTTTCACTATCTGAATGAATTCTCTGGTGTCGCAATCTACCTATTATGGTCAGGAATACTTTCCTACTTTTAGGTTATCTAGGCGTCGTGCGTTTAAGCGATGACATTTTAGCCGTTATTAAGTGCCGACGGTATTACTCTAGTTGTCTTTGTCTAATAGCCCCTTATAATTCTTATCCACTTCTCGCCCAGGGAACTTCACGCCTTTTTCGAAATGATGTTAGTTTAATGTATGAGTATACTACTCTCAGTTCAAAGTTTAAAAACGTCTGGGAGCAATCCTCACACTGTAGGCTTTTTGACTGTTGTTTTTTTCACGGCCTTTTTACAGGCTTTCCTAAGGCTAGGGAATTGCATTTCTGTGGTCAGTGACTCCCTTGTTAGCTTTGCAGAAAATTCGGTGTAATTTCCATTTTCGAGTTGGCAGCTGGATCACCACTACGTTCATCGGATGTAAAACTGACTTCTTGAGGATTCTTGAGCTGACATAATTAAATTAGCCATTTACCTGTGGATGATGCTGATAAAGTCGTCAGATTAGCGTGACTTTGTTTAACACTCAATGTGCCCTGATCGCTGGGGACAAGAAAGTTATGTTTCCAACATACCGGATTTACTGGCGCCCAACATCAGACATGGCAACGGGTAGTAGCAACGAGCGCACAGTGCGCAGCGTGTATGACATGTCGGTGTTAATGCAGTTTCCGTACTGGTCGTCATTTCTATATAATTACGTAGAAACACGGTTACCTAGTTCTACCATTGATACAGTGTCAGGTTTTCCACGCAGTCATCCAGTCCTTTCTGTTTTAACTGTAGTCCTAAACTTCCA